ATATATATATATATATATGCACTTGAATATATGTATATATATGCATATATATATATATATATATATATATATATATATATATATATATATATATATATATATGAATATATATATATATATATATTCATATTTATTTTTATACACACATGTAATTATGTGTATTTGGTACTAGCCAGGACAGAGCGACATAGCAATCGTTGAGAGGAAATAAGGACGCGCATGCGCTTCACCAAGGAACCTTCGGGTGCGCTACAAGGAGTCCTAAGAGGAACGACCTATTCAGAGAGTTTTGGAGAATTCCATATCGTTAACTAAGGATATAATTTTAAATTGTTTCGGACAGCAACTGTATATTTGTTAGCATGTTATAATGGGTCAGTTAATTAAGGTGGAAGAATTAGGGAAGATGTTATTTGTTTATAATGTTTTAATCGCAACAGTGTTCCGTATAGATTCAAATAACCAGAATAAATTGCCATTTCCTTTCGCTTATAAGTACTTAGGAGGTTCAAGTAGCAGGTAAAGTAGATGATCATAACTGGTATTTTTTTGTGTGTTTCTCTGTTCAATTGGATTATTAGGTTCATGAATATAAGTTGAATTAGGTCCCTGCTTATTCCGCTACCGTACGTAAAACAAAGTCAATAACAGTCATAATCACTTTTATTAATCCGCAATCATTAAATAATACGCTAAACACAGGAAATATCAAAACACTTTCTATTAACACAAAGTTTGTTAGGAACATTAGAGGTAATATTAACACAATTAACTATTAGTACATTATTTACGTAACATTCATGCATGTCAGGAAACACAAGAGAGTTTGGGAGTATGTACACACACACACGTGTTGTGTGTACATGTATTTATATTTATATATACATACATACATGTATACACATATGTGCATATATGCATATATATGTATAAATAAATTTATTTATATATTTATATGTGTGTATGTATGTATTGAAAACAAACATGAAGATGAAAAGCAAACCAGCCACAATAAGAAAAGAAATTGAATCGTTACATTTTGAACTTGTCAAGAGTTACTCATCAAACATACAAAATTTGTGGATGTTTTCATTTCCACACACACACACACACACACACACACACACACACACACACACATATTATATACCATTTGCATGACACAAAAAAGTGACTTAAAAAGAATTCTCTTAAAAATATCAACGCATAAAAATAACAAACATGCACGCAAAACTATACCCGAACACACAACTTTACACAACTCTCCTCCCCTACGCACGCGATCACTACAATTGGCTAACGTTCAACCTTTGCAAAATAAAATATGATTTTCTGGAGTCTTTCGAAATCGCTCAATTTTTCGCTAAAGTTAAATCCTCGATCCCTTGCCTCCCGAAAAGAAAAAAAAAAAAAAAAAAAAAAAAGCTTTTACATTTATACAGTTCGCTTACACTAATTACCTCTGGCTAATGAGTGAGAACTAATGAGTTAATCTGCATGGACAGCTGGACATTACTTGCAATGAGAGTAACTGGCAGATTACCGAGGTGAAACTACCGAGGTTATTTTTCCAGACTAAGATTAGAGAGAGCAGTGAACTATATGCTTTAAGAATATTAAATGTTAATTTTCAATCACACACACACACACACACACACAGAGAGAGAGAGAGAGAGAAAGAGAAAGAGAGAGAGAGAGGGAGAAAGAGAAAGAGAGAGAGAGAGGGAGAAAGAGAAAGAAAGAGAGTGAGAGAGAGAGAGAGAGAAATATGCGTGTGTGTAAAGAGAAAGAAAGGTGCCAGTAAGTTGTTTCTTGTGATGTTACGGTTCATGTAAATATATCAAGCATTGGTCATTTCAAGAAACAAATTATGTGAAGTTCTATATCTGAAACTATACGAGCCAATATCGAAATTCAATTTTTTTTATTTAAAAAAAAAAATCTGTTTACATCCAAAAACGTATATTTCAATCCTTATTGGAATCACCGAAAGGAAAAAGAAAAAAAAATCACAAATTAAAAAAATAACACATGGCACGATAACTAGACTGCAACATGCTGGGTTTGCGAATAAACTAACCATGACCTCTAGTTAATAAAGCAACACCAAAATGCAGGCAGGGAGAGAACCTCCCGGGATCCTATATTGGTTATCGAATATCAACAGCCCATGGAAGCGGACGCCAAACTGCAGCCGAAATCAACCATTTTTTCCACGTCTTGCCCCACACCACTACATATTGTGTGTGTGTGTGTGTGTGTGTGTGTGGTGTGTGCTTGTGTTCATTTGTACATATATAATATATCTATATATATATATTATATATATAATAGAATATACATCGACTATATCTATATATAATATATATATTATTATATATTTAAATATACATATACATATAGAATATATGTACAGATAATAAATAAACAATATATATACATATATACATATACTTCATCCATTTATTTCTCATAACGTGTTGTGTTGTGGTATGATAGG